ATAGTGCCACTTTAAAAAAATGGAACTGAGAGAATATTCCCTGCTGCCCCATAGGCTTGCGTTCCCAGCTTGTACAGGTTTTTTATGATGATAACCTACATTGCATGAAAGTGTAGTGTCTGCTTTTGTTAGAATGGTATAATAGTCAAGGTTGACCCCCAAAGGAGAGGTGAGAAAATGTGTCAGCTTCCCTTCTTTGCAGAGGCAGGAACCCAAGGATGTGGAATGGTGCCTGTGCTTTCAGACTCAGCTGATGGTTTGATTGGTTTTACTGAATTACTTTAAGTTTTTTATTACAAGAGATGTCTCATTGTATGGGAGAGAGGTGAGAGGGACGGGCTCAGAGATGAAGGTGATGTAAAAATGAAAGACATTGATAAAAATTAAAGGGGGTAAGAGATGCAACACCAGACGGCTGTGTTCCATCAGCCAGTGCTCAAAACACAGGGACAGTTGCCTGTGAACAGTGTTTGCTGCTGTCGTGAACGGTGTCCTTCTTAGAGTCCAAATGGAAGAGGAATTCCCTCGTGCTGCTCGTAGCTGCAGATGACACAACTTTCTATCCCAAGCTTTGGAACGTCTCAGGGGAGGGGAGATCATAAATCACCTCCGTTTTCACTCGGAAAGGATTGAATGCTCCCAGCGCTGCAATAACCAAGTGGATGAAGGATGCGATGTATTGGCAGAGACTCCAGAAGGAGGAAGAGAGGGACAGCTAGGTGGCTCAGTGGATAGAGCACCAGCCCTGGAGTCAGGAGGAGCTGAGTTCAAATCCAGCCTCAGATACATAACACTAGCTATGTGACCCTGGACAAGTCACTTAACCCCAATTGCCTCACCAAAAAAGAGAAAGAAAAGAAACAGGAGGAGAAAAGGCCAGATTACATTTAGGCAATGATGCCACCCTTTTAATGACCCCACTTCTCCATTAAGCAGAGGCCTGTGTTAAAAACAAAAGGAGTAATCACTTGATAATCACTGGGCCTTTATTAAATGCCTGTCATTTACTCATGTGCTCAAGGATAACTTTGAGGTTTCAAAGACAAAAGAATAACCATCTCTGCCCTCAAGGAGCTTACATTCTAGAAGGAGACCAGAGGAACACTGAAAGGTACACACAGACTAGAGAGCGAGGTGACGTTGGTGACCAGCCCTAAGAGCTAGGGGCTTAGGAAGGGCCTCCAGGAGGCGGTGGCACTTACCCAGAGAGGGCAGGGTGAGGACAGAGTTAATTCAAGATTTGGGGGACAGTGAAGTTGTTCCCAGACAGGTCTGGGAAAATGTCCATCTCTTGATCTCCCATTGCCAGTTCTTACCAACCAAGAAGCATTTGTTAAGTGTTTATTCTGTGCCAGGCATTTTGCACAAAACCATGTCTGTCCTTAAGGAACGTACAGACTACTAAGGGAGAACAAATGTCCATAGAAAAATATGTGCATCATAAATGTAAGATAAATTGTAATGTGGAAGGTGTGACTTAGGAGTTTTGAAGGAAACAAGGTATGGTGAGAGTCAGAGGTGAAGGCAAAGTGCCTTCCAGGCATGGGGGGCATGGCCAGGAATGCCGAGTACACCATGGGTAGGATAAAGGGGCCTGAGGTGTAAGCAGACTAGAGAAGGTAGGGGGAGATTGGGATCAGGTTGTGAAAGTGTTGTGCACAGCTGGTTCACTCGGCTACAGAGCCTGCCTAGGACCTAGGATTTCCCAATCACCTGAAGAATCACGACCAGCTTGATCTTTCACTCCGAGCACGCATTGATGAGGCAGGAGAAAAGATGGCAGCAGCTCCGTTTCTTTTTAGCAAAGCGCTTACTTATACAGTAAATAACAGGAGCTCTTTCTCAAGTTGCAATGACGTATAGCCCACGCCGTGCTCAAGGACAGTGCGTGCACAGTCTGTGCACTTACCTACCACCAATCACAAGTACACTGGTAATGACTAATGAGTAACTAGGGAAGTTAGAGATGCGTAGAATGGTGTTTGCGCCCATCAGGGAGGCCTCATGAACAGCCGGTGGCCCTCTACATCCTCACAGACCCCCAACAGTACAGGGCCTTAAATGACAAATCACGGCAGTTACATTTGATCCTACAAGTAACAGAGAAAGCGCTAAACATTTGTTCAGGAGTGGCTGGGGTTTGGGGGGGGTGGTGACACGCTCAGACACGTGCTTTGGTATGTTTGCTTTGGCCTCTGTGGAATGTGACTTAGAAGTGAAGAGACTTGGGTTGAGGGACCCTAATAATTAGAAAGTTATTACTAGAGTCCAGGTTATGGGGCATTTTAAATGCTGAACAAGAATGTTATATTTGATTCCAGAGATAATTCCCTAGAGTTTATTGAGTGACCTACTTAGACCTTCAGTTTAGAAGATTCACTTTGACTTTGAAGGCAGACACTGGAACTGGTTAGGCACCCGTCATTGCAATAGGCCAGGCGCGTGAGCTGGTGACGAAGGGAGTAGAAAGGAGGGGGCTCCTGTGAGGGCTGAGGGCGGGAATGAGGCTGGCAGTGGATTGAATGGAGAGCGAGGGGGACATGCTGGTGGCAAACCTCAGAGACTAGAAGGATGGCCATAGGAAGAGTACAGGCAGGGGAGAGTAGAAATAAGGAGACTTGGGAGGAATGGCCAGGCAGGAAGGCAGCACCACAAAGACTCGGCTCAGAGGACGTGGTCGGCAGGGTGGAATGCTGCTGCAGAGAGGCTGAGAAAGGCCTGTTGGACTTCACTAGTGAAGCATCATTAGTAACTTTAGAGAGTCTCCGAGTTCAGGAGCCAGATTGCAAGGCAGGGTGATTGACTGAGAAGGGAAGAGAGCTGTAGCCCGGTGACTTGGGTCTTGTAAGTGGTCTGTAAGGCTGGAAAGGACCTGTTGGAGGCTTGGAGAGTTTTTCCAAGTGGTGCTGCATGGTCCTGGAGTGCCGCGCCTCCAGAGAATTAGCTTTGAGGCTCCCCTCAAGAGAGGCGCTTTGGATGAGGGCGAGTGGGGTGCAGCCTGTTGCCAGCCAAGAAGGCCGCCATCTAAGCATTGTCAGAAGATAGCTTCGGAGAGATGGAGCATGTCGAGTGCAGCCTGAGTATCCATTGGTGCCCACACGATGCCAGGATCGTTAGAGAAAGGAAATGCTGACAGCACTGTGAACAAGATCACAGATGCATCAGAGCAAGGAGGGAAAGAGCGTGGCTGTGTCCACACTGGGCTTTGGCGGCTTTTTTAAAATTGTATTTAAGAAAAAAAAATTGTATTTATGGATTAGGGTCTCAGTTTCACATTTCGTTGCTCATCATTAACAAGCGTCTTTCCTGGACTTGATCGAGTAATTCTCTGGTTTGGGGTATGTTGTGTTTTTTTCCCCAAGCTCTTGAATTGTTTATATTAAAACCTCAGTGCCGGTGACTTCTGAGTGTTTCACCATTTCCTAAAGTATCCCTCCCTGCTGCTCTTAGGTAACCTTTTCAGAAGCTCAGTTCATACATCCACTCACTTTATCCACAGTGGACCTCATCTAGCGAGCTGTGAGCAATAAAAGCATCACTGTGCAGGGAAAGCATGTCCATAGTAGGACCTCTTTTTCTCAAGCAGGCTGCTGGACTGCCATCTACTGAAAACCCAGGACATTGCCTCATGCCCTCCTCCTTCATCCTGGCCAGCGGCTTGGCGGCATTTTAGACGCCAGACACTCCCGTCCTACTAGTGGCCATGTCCAGGACACTGCCTCTTCCTCTGTGGTGCCCTGTTTTATCCCCATCCCTTCCTTTTCTTTCTCTCCCTGAGGTGGCCTGCCTTTAGTTTCCCCTTCTTCAGTCCAGCTCAACAGAGTCAGCTTGCTGAAATAGCCACTTCCTCACGACAGCGTTCTGCTGATGTTCTTGCTGCGGCCGCTGGAGGCCTACGGCATATGGCCTTTCCAGCCTCACGTCTCCATTGTTGCCTGACAGACTCTCTGTTGTGTCCAGACTCCTGTCACTGATCGTTCCACCAAACGCTGCTTCCACCTTGTTGTCCCTTCTGTTTCACCAGCTGAGAGATTGCTAAGCAGACACCCCCCCCCCCCCCGTCGTGGGCGACTCTCCTCCCACTTGTACGGCACCGATGGAAGCGTCACGCTCTCCTCGGCTAGAGGATGATGTCCCCAGGGGCAGGCACTGGTCTAGCAAGCGCCAGCATGTTACCTGACCCTCAGAAATAATGACCGGTTTTGTTTCCTGCTTGGAATTCAGAGGGTTGTTCTGTTTGTCTTTAAAGTGGCATGGGGAAAAACTCCTTTATTTTTTACCTTGAAATATGTGAGAAAAAATATGAAGACGGACATGAGAGGATGGCTGGAGAATATTCTAGTGCAGTAGAATTTTTACACGTCTCTTTAATTCAGTTCAACAAGTGCTAATGGGGGGGTGAGGAGTGCTGACAGACCCACATTTAAGGGTCAGTGGGCCAATTTTCCAAAGCACAGGAATGCATTAGTACAACTAAATGAACCTCCAAATTTTTCAAAAGCATTTTCTTTTATTAATTTTCCCTTGAAGGTAATGTTTAAAGAAGAAAACTTTGAAGAATAATCTTACTCTTTAATAAACATGGCAAGTTTACAGTCATTAATTTTACAAATTCACATTATGTATAAATGAAGAAGATGCATAGTCAAAACATGGTCTACCTTACGTTGATGCTTATAAAGTGTGTGTTTGTGTTTTAGTTATATGTTGAATTATTCTGTTAAAATACATTTTATATGGGTGAGGCTACTGCGGGCAGCGTGGTGGATAGAGTACCAGACCTAGGTTCAAATCCTGTGGGAGCCTGGTCAAGTCACTTCCCTTCTGCACTTGAGTTTTCTCATTTGTGATATAGCAGGAAGGTAACCCAGCATCTCCCTCACAAGACTGTTGTGATTATCAAATGAGATGCTATAAAGATTAGCTTTTACCATACTGTAACCAGCGCTGTAGGGGCCCTTCCTGATGTCAATAATTCCTGCCTTCCTTTTTTCTTCTAGCAAAGTTCACTGATTACAAATCAACATGGTCCCCAGACCCCATAGGACACAACCCCACTCATCTCTCCAACAAGATGTGGAAAAACCATATTTCCTCAAGGAACACTAGCGGGCTGCCCCGCCCACCTCCCGGCCTGACCAATCCCAAACCGTCATCTCCCTGGAGCAGCACAGCCCCCCGCTCAGTTAGGGGGTGGGGGGCCCAGGACTCCAGGCTTGCCTCAGGTGAGGGGAGCTCACGTTGCTGGGTCTCAGAGGGGATCCAGGCGTTCCCAGGGGGAGGGGGAGGGGGCACTGCCGTCCACCTGCTTCTAACCTGCCTTCTCCTGTTGCTTCCATCCTTCCCTAGCCTCTGCCTGGAGCGATGGCGGCACAGCTCGTCCTAGTTACTGGCTGGTTCTTCACAACCTCACTCCCCAGGTACTCACCCTTTGTGTTCTTGTTGGTATGAGAGCTCTCTAGCTAAGATAGGTGGGAGGGCAAATGGCTGCCCTTGAGTCTGACGCTGGCTAAGGACCCACTCTCAGCCTGGACCAAGAGGTCGCCTCCGGGAGGGCAGGGAGGGTCCGTCATTGTCCCCTGTGGGTCATGTAGACAGACACGTATACTGGATCATTTGAAGGAGACAGCAGCAGCTCTGCCAGGACTTCCGTCAGAGGTGACACCCAGGTTGGGCCTTGATGGGAGCCCCTCCAGGTACAGAAGGTGTGGGGAGGCAGGAGGTAGAACGCCAGCTTGAAAAACCAGCAGGAGAAATGGAGAGGCCCTCTGCAGGTACAGAGGATGCAGGCGGCATCCTCTGTATATACAGGGCTGGGTCTACCAGAGGCAGACTCTGGTCGGTGCTCACAAGGATCTCAGTCTACACACAGGTGGCCGTGGCAGGACGGAGTGGCAAGGGGGGCGTTGTCATTAAGGGAGTGAGGAAAGGTTCCTTGGAGAAGCTGGGACTTAGCCACAGGCCGAAGGAAGTCGAGAGGGAGAATGTTCCAGGCCCCCTGGAGGATGGAGGCGGAGGCCAGAAGGGTCAGGGAGAAGAGCACCCTAGGGAGGAGGAGGGCGGGGCAGAAAGGGGTTGGAGAGCCAAACAGCATGTTGTACTTGGATTCTGGAGGGGAGAAGTAGCCACTGGCGTTTAAGGAGTAGGGGAGGAGGTGACGCAGTTGGAGCCGTGAGTTAGGAAAATGATTTTGGAGGCAGGAGGAGGGATTGGAGCAAGGAGAGACTAGAGGCTCGCTGAGCCCCCTGCAGGTGTAATGCTAGTCCAGACGTGAGGTCAGGGGAGGGGCATCCAGGAGACTGAAGGTGGAGACCGCAGATGGGGGTGGGGGGGGGGTAGGTAGGAGTCAGGGATGACCCCTAGGCTCTGAGCCTCACAATAATAGGGAGGTTTGGAAAGGGGAAGGAAAATGAGTTCTGTCTTGGACACGTCAGGTTTACAGTGACTGCCGGGCATGTATTCCACGGTGACTGATAAAGGAGACACCTGCAGAGAGATGGGAGCTGATGACATCACCTAGTGAAGTTGGTTAGAGGGAGAAAGAGGAAGGGCCCAGCGTAGAGCCTTGGGGGACACTCGCAGCTGGTGGACTTAACCGGGATGGAGGTCCCGCGGAGGAGCCCAGGAGAGCTCAGGCTGGAGGAGGTGGAGATGGGCTGAGGAGAGAGAAAAGGCCATTGAATTTGGCAGCTGCAGACTGCAGGAGATGGAGACAGGATTGACAAGATTTGTCAAGTGATTGGCTATGGGAAAGCGGCTGGATGATAAGGGCAAGGGGAAAATGGAGGCTGACTAAGGTGGGATCTTGGAAGCACAGAGTAGTTTCTTCAACAGAGAATGGTAAGGGTGCAAAGAGGGAAAGGAAGAAGCATTTACAAAACTCCTGCCATGTGTCGGACAGTTCTTAAGTGCTTTTTACACATTTTGTTTGGTTTAGGTGCTGTTATTGTCTCCCTTTTACAGTTGGGGAAACTGAGGCAGGCAGCAGCTACACAGCTCAGAGGTGTCTGAACCTGAACTTGTCTTCCTTATTCCTGGCCTAACACACACTCTCCCCTAGGCTACCAGCTATCTCTGGAGCAGAAGTGTCAAACCCTGTCCAAAACTCACCCGTAGTGTTGTGGGAACCAGATTAAAATGTCCTTGGGAAATGTTTAACAAAACAAGTAAAAATGCAGTACGACATAGGCAGTGTTAATTCGTGCTTTTCTGAATCAGCGTGTCTGACACCAGTGCTCTAGAGGAAAAAGGAAGTAGCAGGGGTGCCAATCTGCAAGCGTTTATGAAGACCCTACTGTGTGCCAGGCCCTGGGTGCTGGGGATACAAAGAAAGGCAAAAACAGGCCCTTCCCTTGAGGAGAGACAGCGCGGTAACGACTCTCCACAAACACGTCCGCGGGCAGGCTAGCCGCCTCCATGCCACTGGGCTGCCTCCAGGTGGACATGTTCAGAAAGGGAGCTGACGGGGACCGAGTCAGGAGGACAGGAGGCTGATTCAGGAGTTGTTTGTGTACAGATGGTCCTTAAGCCCGAGACTGAAGAGCTCACCATCGGGGATCATGAGGGCGCTCTGACCAATAGGAGGAGAGGCAGGAGTGTCCAGAGCAGGGGCAGCTGGTGGCACAGTGGATAGCACATTGGCCCCGGAGTCAGGAGGACCTGAGTTCAAATCCAGCCTCAGACACGTAACGTTCACTAGCTGTGTGATTCTAGGCAAGTCACTTAACCCCAGTTACCTCCCCCCCAAAAAAAGCTTCAGGAGCCGAGAGAGGGCAACAGGTTGGACAAGACGAGGGTTGCTAGCCTCAGAGAGCTCTGGCAGCCAGATTGCAAGGTCTCAGGAGAGGCCGTGAAAGAGCTGCCCTCTGGTGGCAAAAAGCCCAACCGACCAAGGTCTTTGTCGAGGGTGGGGCCAGAGATGGGAGCCAAGAAGCAACCCCATGGGTGAGGAGAGATGGGAAACTGGACCATTAGATGGAAGGGCTTTGAGAGACATGGCAGCTTAGCAGCGATGGCCTCTGCAGCCACTGTGTATGGACGGCCAATGGTTGACCTCTGTCTGCCGGGGTTGTGGTGCGGATTGCAGACGTCAGGCTCCTCTCCAGATGCTGACCAGTGGCACTGGTGCTTCTAGTCTGGCAGTCAGTAACTCTTTGAGGGAAAAGGGGGAGTGGTCAGGAATTGGTGTCCCCAGACAGCTGGTCCCCCCCCCCCCGCCAGGGGCCTGAGTGAAACCTGCCTCCAGTGCTGGGTCTTTTTGTCATCCCAAGATGGTGGGGGACGAGGCGCAGAATGAGGAGTCCCAGCTTGGGCCCCCCCTTAATCAAGGTTCTGAAGGCAAGGGGTCCAGTATGAGCAGCCCACATCCAGGCAGAGCCCTGGACGTGGAGACTTGACATCCTGGTACCTGACCTCTGCCTCTGGAGGTGCGAGAGAGCAGGGAAAGGCTGGAAGTCCATGGACAGCCCGAAAGGGCAGGGTAGATGGCTCTCCAAGCTAGACTGAGGTTTTCAGTGCATCCTCAGCCACCTGCCAGGTGCGTGGCACAGCCCCGTCTGGCCACTCCCTTGCAGCTAGTACCTCTGCTTGCCAAGACCTTGGGCTGATAACTAGGTTCCCAGTCCACGTTGATGCTTTTATTTTCTAATTTTTTTTCTTATAATTTATTTACCAGAAGTTTGTGTTTTGGGGGAGCTAAAGTGGCTGCCTTGGTGCTGCCTCCCCAGTGCCCTGAGGACCCCGGGTGGTTTTTCTCTTTCCTGCTTCCTTCTGTTGCGCTGTTGTTCTCTCTCTGCGGCCGAGAATCTGCATCTCAAGTAGCTCCACTGCCCTCCCTCCTCCCCTCTCTCATGACTCACCTGGGTGCTTTGTCCTTAGATTGATGGGTCAACCTTGAGGACGATCTGCATGCAGCACGGCCCACTGCTGACATTCCATCTGAACCTGACCCAGGGCACGGCCCTGATCCGATACAGCACCAAACAGGAGGCGGCCAAGGCCCAGACTGCCCTACACATGTGAGTACCTGCCGGGGCCCCCGGGCACATGCGGGGTGAAGCCCTGGGGCCGGAATGGGTATGGGCAGTGCCAGGGCACAGTGAAGGGGCTTCCTGCATGCATGTAGCACACATTTTACACGGGAGGAAACAGAGGCCAAGAAGGAGAATGAAGGTGCCTCACATGGTGTTCAGCTTCGCATAGGCAGCAGGTACAAGAGTGAGGACTCTTCCATCTCCCTGTTGGGGAAGCATCAGCGAGAGAAGGGCAGGACAGGAGGGTTTTCGTTTGTAGTCCAGAACACATTTTTCCTGCCAGGCACCAAGGCCTGCTTCCATTCCAGAAATAGTCTGAGTTCTGATGAGCGACCCTGGAGACAGTCCTAAGTAGTAAGAGAGAAGTGTTGGTGTCGACCCACACGACTGATTTCCGAGGGTCGTTGTGGCCTGGGTCCGGGAGGCCAGTGCTAGACGCCTTCACCCAGATTTAGAGCATTGACAGAGATGGACCAGAGCTGTCTTCTTCATTGCCAGTAGAGCCTCCGATGTTTCCTCTGTGTGCCTTCTAGGATTTAAAAGGCATAGCCCCTGAGCATCGCCCCTTTTCTGTCCCTCTCCAGGTGTGTGCTGGGAAACACTACCATCCTGGCTGAGTTTGCCACAGACGAGGAGGTGAGCCGGTTTTTGGCACAAGCCCAGCCCCCTCCCCCTGCCGCGACGCCAAGCGCGCCGGCCGCCGGCTGGCAACCCCTGGAGACGGGACAAAGCCAGGCAGATGCCGTCGGCCCCGCCCTAAATCTTTTTGGGGGGTCAGCAGGGCTCGGCCAGTGGAGCAGCGGTGGGGGCAGCAGCAGTGGTGGCGACCTCCCTGGCGCCTCCTTGTGGGGGCCCCCAAACTACTCCTCCAGCTTGTGGGGGGTCCCCAGTGGGGAAGATCCCCACCGGATGGGCAGCCCTGCTCCTTTGCTACCTGGTGACCTTCTGGGAGGAGGGTCGGATTCAATCTGAACTTAGAACTTTCAACTCTGACCTCGTGACCTTTTTTGGAAACAGCAGCAGCACTAACTCGACCTTTTCGTTTTTTTTTTCAACTTGCAATAAATACATTTTTAAAAGGAAAAAAGAAAACGGAGAGAGAAAAAAAAAAAGGTGGGTCATTGCCAGACTGTCTGAGCACATAGTTGCCTCCCTTATAACTTCAGTTTTTTCGTTTGGAAAATGAATCCAAAAAGAGAACATATCACTCTTGAAATACTTGAATCATGAACGCCAACCTAGAAAGACAATGTGAAGCAAGTACACATACCATTTAAATTTCAACACAAAAAATTAAAAAAATTAGTTTCTAGTTTTTCACTTTTTCATGTTATACGGAAGTTGTTGCTAAGAAACATATATACTGAAAAATAGCTTTTTAACTTGGTTTGCACTGGGTGTGTTTCCGTCCTTAGGTCTACCGTGTTGGGGGGGGGGAGGGCAAAAGAATTGTGGGGGTTGGGGGAGGGAAGACTAGACGGAGCCTCACTTTAAAAACAAAACAAAAAACTTTAAAAAAAAAAGGAAAAAAATTGTGATTGGCTGGTCGATAAATACCAGTGTGTGCTGGCACATGTAACTGCCCAGGCATGCTTGTGGTTGGTGTGTGTGTGCACGTGTGTTCGTGTGCGTGTGTGCTCCTCCTCGTCCCGCCCCCACTAATCGGAAGGCCACGCTGCTGCCAGTCCGCAGGCTGGCCGGCCAGGACTGACGCCAAACCCAGTGGGGGCGCGTTAAGGTTTCAGGAGAATGCTTTTTGTGCCCACGAGCAGGGCGCTCTTTTGTGTTTGTGAGTCGTGTGCGTGTGTGTGTGAGAGAGACAGCCTTTACTTCCATCCAGCAGCAGAGTGGAGCACTGCCATACCCAGAATCAGGCAAGCAGGAGCACATCTGAAGTGGCCACGTCCTCGTGTGCTCATCCGTGTATTTAGTACAGATTTATTTCTGGTTTTAAAATCAGAGACGCATCACAGCGTCCGACTGGTGTGTTTTCTCAAAGCAAGTCCTTTTTGGTTCTGACAGGAGTGGGTGGGAAGACCTTACAGCTCTTTTGTGGTGTTTCCAAAGTGAAAAATGAGAGCAGGTCTCCCCTTCCCTGGCCGTGGCCCAGACACATGGAATTTGCTCATTGGAAATCAGAAATTTCATGCTTACCTAAATTTTAAACTAAGTTGTCTTGTCATTTTTTTTTAAAAACAGAAAAAAAAAGTTGAGTGGCATCAGCCGCCTGCTGAAGGCGTAGGCAGCTCCCCTCTCTGCTCCAGATGCTGAGCGTTACCTGTGCCAGGCCTGGGCGTGTCCCAGCACCAGACCGTCACTGAGCGAAACGTTTACTGAAGAATGTTCTTAAACCAGTGTGTATTTCAAGCCTTTCCTTTTGTTTCTCTGTGCTGTGTATTTCCTGTGTGTGTGCTGTTGCTTAGGCAGGTCTAACTAGCAAAGACTTTTGAGTATTGCACCTTGTTTTCCTGTATTGTTGCTTTTTTATTTCGGTATTTAAAGAAACTTTTGTGAGCATCAGTGTAGTACAGTACTCTGGGCGGAACAGGGGCGACCTTGGAATCCACAGTAATGGCCAGTGTGTCCGTGCACGCGCACTGGGCTCGACATCGGTACTGCTGCTTTTGGGGAGGGGAGCTGAGTGGACCAGAGGGAGGGAGACCCCTTCACGGCCAGCGCCTGCCTCCGGCGGGGGCAAGGAGAAGGGCTAGCACTTGGCTAGGCATGGACATCATCAGTCTGCATTCAGCTGATTTACATAAAGTGCCCACATTCTGTACCAGCAAATGCCTGCCTGCTCGGACCCGACCTTGGGTGGGAGTAGACGCTGCTGTCCTTGTCAGCTTTCAGATGGGGGAGATGGTGTAAGCGTCTCATTTGAGCATCTTCAGTGAAGGATACAACAATGCCTAATGTAGTTAACTTTTCATTTATATGTGTGTGTGTGTGTGTGTGTGTGTGTGTGTGTGTGTGTACTTGTGCATGTGTTGAGTGGTTAGGGAAAGGCAAAAGAAAATCATTTGCATGTGAGACAAAGGAAATGGGAAGCACTATAGGTTTCTTGACTCACCCCTGTCAGTCTAAACCAGGCATCCAAAAGGATTGACAAAGGGGGATGTTAAGTTGCAGTTATAGCGTCTTACAAGGAGCATTCACTGCTTATGATTATGAGATGTGAATCAGGAGGGGGCCGGGGGCAGGTGGGCAAGCGGGAGGTTGCAGCAGATGGACAGCATTGCTTGCTTGCTTGCTTTTTTAGAATACCCCTGCCCCACGCCAGCCCACCAGTTTCTGTCTTTGTCCTACCCTCTGCAGAGAAGACCCCCCTCTTCAGCCCCTCTCCCTGGTTTCTTCCCAAGTGGTGAAGCATTAGCTCTGTTGTGGCCTTGAGGTGAAGAGCAGCTGTCCTCCTCAATAGAGAAAACATGATCTAAGTTCCTTACCTGTAGTGGAAGTCCCCAGAAGCGCCGCCCTTGGCTTCTTCTGTCCCATTGCCTGCTACCGCCCCCACCTCCCCAAGGGCTCCTTGCGGGTCCTCATCCTTCTTCTCCTCCCAACCTGCCTAGTGGTTCCTCTACCTGCACTTTGGGTTAAGTTGAGTTCATTATGATACTACGGTGAAAGCCGGGTGCTAGAGCCCCTCTTGTTTACAAGACATAATGAGGGATTTGAAATATGTAAAAATAAAATTGAGAAGCTAAAATGTTCTTCCATCATAAGCTTAAAGGGAAAAAAAATTAAAAATTTTTAAAAAGACCAAAAAGTGCATATATATATAAAAATATATATTTTAGATGAAGACTAACTCTGGGAGCATATAACAGTGTTTGTTTGGGGTTTTTTTGTGTTTGTTTTAACATTTATTTTCCTGCTTTAAAATTTGCAAGCATTCTCAGGAATTCTAGGGTAGGAAGCCAGTTTTTTTGAAGATGGTTTATTTCACTGTATCTTATCCTAGATAGATGGCTGTTTCTTTCCTGTTGATAAACTTTTACAGGTTCCTGAATCTTCAAGAAGAAAAGTTTAAAATAAAAGTTTTTACTTAATTTTAAAAAATTCAAAAAGAAAAGTCTTTAAATGTTACAGTCATAACTGGGGATCACACATTTTAAAACCTGTACAAAGAAATAAGATATTTTTTAAAAGTTCTCAGTTTAGCAGCAAGAAATTCATTATACTCTTTAAAAAAAAAAACAAATAGGAGAATGATTAAGCTGTAACAAGCTCTGTCTTAGTCTCATTTGGAATTGTGCGTAATTGTAGTTGAGAAAGAGAGAGATGGGCTTCTGAATGGGAATGGCATCACTGGTCCTTTCCACTTAGGCTAAACCGCTGTCTCTCCTTGTACTTTTTTTTTTTTAATGAAAGAAAAAAGACAGTCCCTGCATCTTTCACTACTCTCCCCAAAATGTTAGTTCTGACTGTAAAATTTAGTAAAGTTTGGGTGAATTGAGAATCTGTGTAAAAGAAAATAGAGAATCTAGGTTAATGCTTTTTGGAACAAATTTTAAATACAGGTCTTGCTAGAGGAAGATTACCCACGGACTATTCCATAAATGAGAAATGTCTGTCTCTGCCTCCTTTTATTGTGGGAAGGAGGGGGGAAAGAAGAAGATAATCTAACAAGGAACAAATGATTTTTCCTTTTTTAGCTCCCAGCTACTGTTGTGTTTGTTTTAATTGCTATTTTAAAGATTTGCTGCTTACTTATCTCCATCCACCAGCTAGAGACTTGGAAGTTTGACTTTCTTTTTTTGGTGATACTGAGTTCTCTTTTTGCATACCCTTCTGGGGCCAGATATTGAAATTCCCAAGCATGATGAGAGCTTCACTGAGACATTTGAGCTTACCACTGGGAATGAAAAACTTCCTCTCCAGGTGAGGGGAAGTGGAGTTAATGCCTGAAATTTCTCTGAAACCGCTTTAGTGCCTTTGTACATACACCCAGACATCCTGTGAAAGGGGGAGGGGGTGTGTGTGTGTGTGTGTGTGTGTGTGTGTGTGTGTGTGTGCGCGCGCGCTTGTGGTCCAGTCACTCCGTGTGAATTCATGCACCTGTCCTTGAAAGAGTATGGAGTCCTTCTGGCTGTGCCCCAATGGCAGTGGGCGAAATTTCAAAAAGAGAGAAAAAATGCCTAGAAATAAAATGTGCTTTTAGATCTTGAAAAAATAGAATGCCGAGTCCCTGCCCTGTGTTTGATTGTGTACCCTCCACTTTCATCCATCGCATGCTTTGTGTGAGCGCTTGTGAAAACGTGAACCTGTATTAATTTGGAAAGTCTTATTGTGTTGGGCCAGTAGAAAGGAGTTCTCTAGGGTTTCCTGCTCCTCCCTGCCCTTACCTTTTTTTTTTCCCTCCGTACTCCAGAAGGTTTGCTTTGCTGGTTGACAGTGACTTAAGAACAGGAGACAGTTGAGGATGTGATCACACTGTGTGGCTTAAGTACTTGCCCTCCAAGTGCACAGTCTGAGAGTGTGTCATCCCCCCCCATTCCCCCAGCTTCTTCTGAAAAAATCACAAATGGGCGCTCATGTTGGGTGGAATAACCCACCGAGTCAGCTTTTTTTTTCACCTGTCTTCTCCTTCTTGAGGACAAAGCTTCCTGCGTTCTTACCAGACTTCTTTTCGGACGCTCGCCCTGGAGTGACCAGAGAGACACGCTTCGTTGGTCTCTGCCCACCCGTGGGGAAGGAAATGTCTTCCACCAGACCAGGCTGTGTGACCGACCGACCCTCTGCCGTCATATTTGTCCTCATTTTCGGTGTCTGCTAAGCCAGACTGACAACTCTCCGAGACACTGTGAAGACACAGAAAGGTCCCAGAGCCAGCGCCCCTCAATTGTGGGGTTCCATGGTCGTCGTGGAGGCCACAGTTAGCGCATGCTGCAAGTGAGGGTTCCAAAGACACCCCCTTCGCCGAGGTCCACGTCCTTTGTCTCCTCCACTGCTTGGGGCTGCTTTCTTTCAAGATATTCACTCACTCTCAGTCTGGGGGGGTTTTTGTTTTCTCTCGTGATGTTATTAGGATAGCCAACTTCCCACCTTTCCTGTGAGCGTGGCATCAATTAGCAGTAAGCTCTCATGAGTTCTCTTGTGAAGTGTTGTGTCTAAGTAAGACATGTGGGGGAAAAAAGAAAGCTTTCTAAGAATTTGGAAGTTCCTTTATCATTTTTAGCAAAAACTTCAGTTCTGGAGGTTATAGTCCACATTGTCATGTTCACCATCAATCCCTCTCACCTCTTCTGTGCTTTTCTGAGGGGACTGTATTTGCTTTGAAATTCAGTTTCAGCCTCAAAGGGGGTACATTTCCCCACCCTTTTTTTCCCCAAGATCCTGGCATTCTGGTATTTCTGTTGAACAGACTAAAGATTCCTGTGTGCTC